ACCCCATCGCACCCTGGAGCCATCAATGGAGAGGCATCCCAAGGTACTCGGCGAACCTACGCCAATCCTCACTTCTGAGGGGGTGCTCGCTCCCACCCCCTCCAGCACGGGCGAGGCTCTGTCGCTGGGTGAACCGAGGACCTGGACCCCCAACGCCCACCTCAGGGACGCAAGCAGCTCGGAGAGGGACTGAGAAGACGGGGGGCACTCCCCACGCCTAGCCATGGACATAAGCCTGTGCGCCTCCTCCTGGAGTTGCTGCCACCTGAACTGCAGTAGAGCGTCCGCCGCCTGGTCTCCTTGAGGCCCGAAGCCCCTTTCATGCGGGAAAGCGTCCCAGATAGCACCCAGCAGGCTGTCCATGGCTGCCCCAGGGACGCTGAGATGTAGCCCCTGGCCACTCCTCTCACTAGAGCCGGGGAGGAGGGAGGAAGAGAAGCCAGCACACGAGGGCAAGGAGGGAGGCGGGAAAGGGGATGGGCAGAGACCCCCAGGACCGAAGGCACAAGTTTTCAGAGCTGCCACCGGACAGGGCGACAAGGGATACCCCAAGAGCCGAGGAACGGGGACGCGATCAGGACCCCCGACGGAACACCCAGGGCCTCCGAAGGCCCGAAAGGACCTCCAGGACCTCCAACGGCCTGCCCCCACGACGACTCGAGGACTCCCGGCGGCCAATGGCAGCGGCCTCGGCGCCCCGATGCGCGCTCCAGGGCCTGCTTGCCAGCTCTCCCTCACACGGCGGCACGAGGGAACGCGGCAGCCCCCTGCGACGGCAGCGGCGACCCCGACGACGACGACGACGACGACGACGACGACGACGACGACGACGACGACGACGACGACGACGGACGACGACGACGACGACGACGACGACGACGACGACGACGACGACGACGACGACGACGACGACGACGACGACGACGACGACGACGACGACGACGACGACGACGACGACGACGACGACGACGACGACGACGACGACGACGACGACGCACCCCAACTGGCCTCGGAGGGGCTGCCGCGGCCGGCATGCCTCCGAGGGCTGGGCTTCGCACTCTCCCAAGGAGCACGCTCCTGGGCCAGCTTGCCAGCTCTCCCCCACGCGGCGGCACGAGGCCACGCGGAGGCCACCAGCGGCAGCGGCGGCGACCCCGACGACGACGACGACGACGACGACGCCGACGCCGACGACGACGACGACGACGACGACGACGACGACGACGACGACGACGACGACGACGACGACGACGGCGGCGGCGACGGCTGCGGAAGCGGCGGCAGCGGCACGACGACAGGGAGGGAAGAGCGAAGGCAGGGAAGGGACCGAGGAGGAGGAGGAGGAGGGGAGGGCGGCCTGGCCCCGGCAGACCCGACCCGCCCGGCCCGGCCCTGCGGAGCGGGAGGACGGGAGGGAGAGGGGACGAGGCGACCCCCCGGGGCCCGAAAAACGGCCTCCTGAGGCCGACGGCGCGGAGAGACAGAACCCCCCCACCACCCACCCCCTCCACCCCCTTTTTTCTACCTATGCTCTGTTTTGCAACTGATGCGCTGTCCGTCACACAATCCTCACAGGAAATGCACTGCCTGCTGGGCAAAAGGCTGGATGGGGGGAGGAGGAGGAATCGGAGGAGGAGGAGGAGGAGGAGACGCAGGAAACATCAAAACTACCTGTGCGGACTTGAACAAAAGGGTTCTGACTCGGCTCCTCTACAGATGCTGCACAGCATCTGCCTGCCGCTCCCCGGGCGCACGGGGGCCCTACCTAGAGTGTGGAAGAGGGAGGTGGGCGGAGGAGAAACCAGAGCGCAAGGGGTAGAGGCTCCCCCGAGAAGTCTTACCGCGAGGCTAGGCTGCCTGGTCAATCAGACGCCGGGGGCGGCGACCATGCTGCTGGCGGCAGGGGCGGCAGAGGCGGGAGCGCCTGCGGGCCGCCAATCCGCTGGGGGGCTGGCGGGGTGCCATTGTTCCAGGGCTCGGTCCAGGCCTCGAGCTTGGCCAAGATCGCCTCCTGGACGCCGTTCTTCTTGCTGGCAGACACGTGCACGTGGCCTCCTTTGCGGAGCCAGACATGGGCTGCTCCCTTCTTGTGCCCGAACTGCAGGAGCACGCCCTTCGGCACGGGATCCCGCTTGGGGACGTGGCACCACTTGCCAGTGGCCATGAGGGGGCCGCTCACCGGGTGAGTGTAGGCCCAGTACAGCACGATCCGGTCCGTCGGGAGGCTCCCGTCTGGGAGCCTCCGTACCCACCTGTCCACGTTGTGCTTGTCTGCCTCTGCAGCCGGCGGGCCCTGGACGCGCCCGAACTCCGGGAAGAGCGGGTCGCAGGCCCTTGGCTTCGGAGCGGCGGTTGCTGGCGGGGCGCCCCAGCCCTGGGCGTCACCCCCCCGACCCGCTGGGGGCAGAGCGTGCGAGGGGGGCGCCCCGTTACCGGCGGCAGGGCTGGCTGCTGGCCCGCAGGCCCCGCACAGGAGCCGCAACCCCGAAGGCCCTTTGGTTGCCACAAGAGCGTACACAAGCTGCCCACATCCCATGCAGGCAAGGGCCGCCGTGTCACCCGAACCCTGCCCGGGCTCAGCCCCGCCGACGCCACGGCCTGTCCAGGGGTCCGGCTCCAGCCCCGTGAACTTGGCCCGCTTGGCTGGGGGCTGCTGACCTGGCTCGGAGTGCCCTGCTGCTCCCGTGAACTGCTGCGCGGCGCCGGCGGCCAGAGAAGTGTTCGTTGCTTCCCAGGTGGTCCAGCAGTACTCGCAGTAGCCCGCCTTGACCGGACCGCCCACAACGCCGCACTCCACGCACTGCACAGGCAGGAGACCTTGCTCGGGCGCCCACCCTGCTCCGGAGGTTGGGAGCCCCACGGCCTCTTGCGTCCCAGGACCGGTCTGTGCCGCTAGAGCGCCGCGCGCGGACTGAGGCCCTCCGCCGCCGGTGGTGGCCTGCCCTTTGGCCTCCTGCTCCGGGGCCGCAGCCCCCTCGGGCAGAACAGCCGACTCCGGGGCCTCCGCGTGCTGCTGGGGCGCCTGCTCTCGGCCCAGGTCAGAGGGGCTCCCTGGGGGCGTTGCTGGCTCCGCTTCCCAGGCGTCCCAACACCCGCCGCAGAAGAACTTGTGCTGGAAGGGGCCCTGCCCCTCTTTGAGCTGGAAGGGAGACAGGGGGGCCCTGCCGCACCAGGCGCAGCACGACGGGAAAGAGCTCGAGTCCTGGCTCTGGCCGGCCCCAGGGCAAGCGCCCGCCTGGTCCCGGGCCTCCGGCGTTGGAGCGGCGCTCCGGGACTCCGCACCTCCCTGGCCTTCCGGGGGCGAGCCGCCCTGGCTGACCGTGAACGCGAGGGCGGGCTGCGACGGGGGGGGGCCCCCAGCGGCCGCCGCGGCTCGCCAGGACTCCTGCTGCTCGGGGTTCATGAGTTCCCACTGGCGCTTTACGGCCCGCCCGTACAAGGTCTTCGAGCAGCACGCGCCTGGGTGTTTGGACTCACTGGTCGCCGCTGCCCGGAGGGTTGCCTTCAGGGACGGCTTGTGGTCCATCCAGTACTTGAGAACATCTTCCTGCTTCAGCTGCTCCCCGGCCATGGCGATCTAATCCGAGGCGGACCACGCTGGCTTCTGGGCGTCCGGAGGGGATGCGGGAGACTGTAGAGAGAGCGGCTGCGGAGAGGGAGGGGGGGGAGCAGCGCACCGGCATCAGCAGGGGAGGAGGGGAGGGAGGGGAGGAGGGAGGGAGGGAGGGAGGGAGGGAGGGAGGGAGGGAGGAGGAGGAGGAGGAGTAGGAGGAGGAGGAGGAGGAGGTAGGAGGTAGGAGGAGGAGGAGGAGGAGGAGGAGGAGGAGGAGGAGGAGGAGGACACGAGGAGGCGGAGGAGGAGAGGAGGCTGGAGGCAGGAGCGGGCTCGGAGGAGGCCCCGTCCCGCGCCCGCGGCGCCCGTTCCTGCAGGGAGGGAGGGGAGCACTTCTCGGGGTCCTCCTCCTACCCCATCAACATCATCATCAGAATCATCCTCCTCATCAGCATCATCATCATCATCATCATCCTCCTCCTCCTCCTCCTCCTCCTCCTCCTCATCATCATCATCATCATCATCATCATCATCATCATCATCATCATCATCATCATCATCATCATCATCATCATCATCATCCTCATCCTCATCAGCATCATCATCATCAGCATCATCATCATCAACAACATCATCATCATCATCATCATCATCGTCATCATCATCATCAGCAGCATCCGCATCATCATCATCATCAGCATCATCAACATCATCAACCTTAGCAACAGCAGCATCTTCAGGAGCAGCATCACTATCATCAACATCAGCATCATCAGCAGCATCAACATCATCAGCATCATCAGCATCATCAGTATCAGCATCATCCTCATCCCCATCATCATCATCATCATCATCATCATCATCATCATCATCAGCATCATCAGCATCCTCATCATCAGCAGCAGCATCATCCTCGTCATCAGCATCCGCATCCTCATCCTCATCTTCATCCTCATCCTCATCCTCATCCTCATCATCCCTCCTCCGCCTCCTCCTCCTCCTCCTCAATTCCTCGCTTCCTCCCTTCCTCCATACCTCCCGTCATCCCTCCCACCCTCCCTCCCTCCCTCCCGCCCTCATCCCCATCCTCTCGCTCCTGCTCCTGCTCCTGCTCCTGCTCCTGCTCCTCCTCCTCCTCCTCCTCCTCAGCCATGTTGCGCCCGAGTGTCCTTTTGCCTGAGGTGGCCGCGCGGGTGTTTTGGCGTGCTGATTTCAGAGTGGCCACGCGCACCAGAGTCGACCGATGCCAGCTCAGTCCACGCAGCATGGGCAGGGCACGAAGTGGAAGTGCAGCAACTGCTCATCCAAGAATGGCGCAGGCTACGATTACTGCAGGAAGTGTTGGAAGGCGAGGCCCAATGCTGCGGGCGATCAGCCAGATGCCAGCACGGCGGCGGGAGGAGGCGACGATGATCAGACAGACGAGCAGCACGCCCAGCTTCAGCACATGCGCGCAAAGCTGGCCGAGCTCAAGGAGCTCGCCGAGGACTCTGTCATGGAAGACTCCCTCAAGCCGCAGGTGGAAGCGCTCCAGGAGCGCGTCGACCAAGCTCAGGCGAAGCTGGAGACCAAGGTGCCGCGCTGCTTCACAGAGTGCCGTGTGGTGCGTGACCGCAAGCGGGTCGTGGAGCAGCGGGGCAAGTGCAAGGGCCGCGTCGAGGAGCTTGAAGCTGAAGTGGCCAAAGCCCAGGAGAAGCTGCAGACGGAGCGTTCCAACCTCGAGCGCTACGAGCAGAAGCTGGACCCCCTCAATCAGAGGATCAGCGAGCTGTCGGTGGCAGCCCCAGGGAAAGGCTGGTCAGCGGCGGTGGCCGTCTTGGAGCAGGCAGCCAAGTGCCTGGCCGAAGGGCCCAATCAGCAGGAGGGCACGAAGCTCAAGAAGGCCTTGGCGCACGCCCTGCAGCAGCAGACCGCCGAGAAAGAGCGGATTGCACAGGCAGAGACTGCCAAGAAAGCTGAGGCAGAGGCCGCGCGTGCGGCCAAGGAGGTCCACGAGCGCGACTCGGCCAGCCAGGGCGGCACCAAGAACCGCCACTTGGACACCGAGTCCAAGAAGGAGGACCTCCTGAAGTTCGAAGCAGGCAGCTCCGAGGAGGCCATCGCCATGGTGCTCACCACCGGCGGCGTCACTCCTGAGCAGGCTGCTAAATGTGGTGGCTGTATTAAGCTGCTGCTCGACGGCCTGGAGTCGGGAGACACGCTCACCATCAGCAATGCACAGTGGATCCCGAAGCGGGCTTAGCAACGTCAAAGCCAGCCAGACTTTCTACGCGGTGAACGCCAACACGGTGGGCTCCCTCGAGCGCATCATGAACGACATCTACAAGGTCACTCCCACGCCCATCATTCTGGCGCAGGAGCTGCAGGCAAGCCAGGCCAAGTTGGCCATGTTCCTAGCGACCATGACCAAGAGGGGCTGACGCATCGGGTACGCACCCAGTGCGAAGACAGAGGAGGGGTGGAGTGCAGGTGTGCTGATCGCCACAAACAGAAGTCGTGGGCTGGACCTACGCGAGGCGCAGCATCAACACGTGGGACATCTTACCCGCTGGCAACAAAGGCCGCTTGGCGATAGCATGGCTGAGCGCCGTAAAAAAAGCAGGGCGTGCTGTGCGGCTCCGTGTACTTGTGGCGCAGCGAGGGCATGACGCGCAGGAGCGAGCTCATCCTCCAGAAGTGGGTCAGCGTTGCGACGGCGACCCACCACGACTGGATTCTGGGCGGCGACTTCAACATGAAGCCCGCGGTGCTGCGAGCTTCGGGGCTGCTGGGGAAGATGCAGGGAGGCATCATCCACGACCAGCAGCAGGGCACGTGCGAGCGGGGCGACGGCACCGGCCAGGCCCGTCCGCGCCTGCCTCGTCGTCTCCAAGAGCCTGCTCCGCGGGGCCCTGGAGGCGCAGGTGCGGGAGGCCTTCAACGTCAGCCCCCGCCTGCCAGGTTCGCCGACCGTGACCCAGCAGACAAACGAGGACCGCAAGATCCTCGCGCTGCAGAAGCCTCAGCGATGGCCGCTGGTGCTCCCGACCGGCTGCCCAGGGCCGCCACTGGCGTGACCGAGGCCGCTGGCGAGCCACGGGCGGCACGCGCAGTGCGTGATGGACGCGCAGCGGAGCGGGCCGGGCGTGGCCTGCGAGCTGCACCTCAGCTGCGACTTCACCTGCGACGAGGAGGACCTCAGCAGCAGGCAGGGGCACCTCAGCGCGGCAAAGTACAAGTGGACCTACGTCGAGGCGAAGGCGCCGAAGGAGGCCTCCAAACAGCAGGCCTGGGCCGAGGGCGCAGAGTGGCTGGCGCACAGGCTGAGGCGCATGCACAAGCTGGTCAAGCTCTGGCGGACGAAGGGCACGGCTACCGTCAAGGACGAGGCCGACAGGACCGCGCGGACCATCCTGAGCCACAGCATCATCATGCCTCTGCGGCACGTACAGGAGGAGCGGCAGCAAGACGAGCCAGATGCCCCCGACGATGGGCATGAAGACGCGGAGCAGCAGCTGATATCAGAGGGCGAAACAAGCCCTGACTTCCCGCGGGAGGGGGCGGAAGTGGTAGAGAATCGCCTCGCGGCTGGAGCGCCACCCCCTGCGGGTCAGCTGCCGACGTGGGACACCGTGCGGTGGCCCGACCTGATCAACACCGTCGGCGCCCTCGACGTCCACGCGATGGACGACAAGGAGCTGCACCACATCGACCGCATCGCCACATGGCTGGACCTGGCCACTCGGCGCGGCTTGCGAGCGGCACAGCGCGCGTCGGCAGCGAGCTGGGCAGCAGTGGGCGCGCACCCACAGACACGAGGGAGCGCGGGCGCCCTTCACCGCTGGACGAGGCCGCCCGTGCAGCGGCAGCCGCAGGCCACGGGGGCGACGAGCCGGACGAGCCGGCGCCCCGCAGGCGGACCCCCCAGCAGACCTCTCGAGCCCGAGGAGTGCCGCCCGCCGCCCACCGCCCCGCGGCAGGGGCTCGAGGGAGCTGCGGGCGCTGCCGCCCCAGGGCGGGCCTCGGGGAGCCGGGCTGGCACCCGCGGCTCCGGCAGCACGGCGGACGCCCAGGAGCAGCGCGCGCGGCAAGCGTGCTCAACGAGGGTGGAAGCGGGGGCCCCCTGGCCAACCGACCAGGCCACCAGCCTCTCCTGCCTCCACGCCAGGCCGGCGGCGGGGCTTTCGGAACCTCGGGCTGCTTCCCGAGCTCGCGCTGCGGTGGAAGACGGTCCGCATGCCGTGCGCCAGGCAGTGGGGGCAGGCGCAGCGGCGAGCCTATGACTGGGCCACCAGGGGTCGCTCGAGCGAGAGGGCCGCGTGGGTGCAGGGGCTGCTCTGCGAGGCCACTGTGGCTCAGGACCTCGAGCACGCGGTCACGTACTTCGACCGGGTGAAGTGCTTCGAGTACGTTGCGCGCGCCGTGGCGTGGCGCGCGGGGCTCCACTGGGGCTTCAATCGCGTCGCGCGAAGGGGATTCGTGCAGTACTGGCACCCGCTCCTCCTCCAAGCGCCGATCTACGTGTTCGGGGTGACCTGGGACATTGGTGATCTCCAAGGGCGAGCAGGGGAAGACGGTCACGATGGTCTCGGCCGCCCCGCTGCAGGACGAGCTCACCGAGCGCATCTGCCCTTTGGGGACGCGCACGTCCAAGGAGGAGAAGCACCTGGGCGTCACCACGGCAGCGGGGCGACGTCGGCGGGTGGGCGCTTTCAGCAGGAGGGCACTCAAGTTTGCAGCACGGCGGGGCCGCATCGCGCGCGTCAGGCGCGCGGCCTGGCCAGCCGCCAAGATCGTGCGCCAGGCCAAGGTCCCTTCGCTCCTCTACGGCGTGGAGGTCATGGGCATGGCAGATACCAAACTCGGCGAGCTGCGGCAGTCGGTCGCGAACTCGCTCCAGGGCAACACCAAAGGCAGATCTACGTTCCTCGCCCAGCTGACGGACGACGTGGACCCAGGCACGCTGGTCAACTCGGCGCCGATTCTGGCCTGGGCGCAGGCGTGGCGGGAGACTGCTGACAGCCAGCCAGAGCCCCGAGCTGCAAGCGGCATGGACGAAGTGGGTGCTGCGAGTGAGGCGCGCCAGGTCCCCCTAGCAGCTGGTGCGAGGGCCCGCCGGGGCTTTCGTGGCGACGGTACGCAGGCTGGGCTGGATGGCGCAGGCGGCGCACTCCATCTCCATCGGGGCGGAGGTGCTGGACCTGCGGGTCGTGCCGATCCACGCTTTGCAGCACCACGTCAAGGGGGCCACCGAGCAGGGCCTCAAGGACGCCTGGCTGGAGAAGCGGGGCGAGAAGCTGAGGGCCTGCAGTCCGTGCTCGCGGAGCCCGCGCGGGCGCTCCTCGGGCGCCCCCCGCGCGGGCGCCGGGCGCAGGCGCCGCGGGCGCGCGTCCGCACCCTCTGGCGCGGAGGCGCGTGGCCGCAGCTGCGCCTCTTTCCAGAGGGGCGCGGCGGAGAGCGACACCTGCCGGGCCTGCCGGTGCGCGCGAGGGGCCGACCGGCATCGGACCTTCGCGCGCCCCGCGCGCGAGGCCCACCGCCGCGAGGTGAGGGGGCACCACATCGTGCAGCGGGGCGCCAACCCAGGCACGGAAACAGCTCTGGGGCCGCGGGTTGGCCAACGGCCCCGCGGTGGAGTTCGGGCCGTGGGGCTTGCCATCGATGGACACCTGCCTGGTCCACGGCGACTTCGACGGGGCCTCGTCGCGGGCGATGCCTACACCGACGGCAACCTGCTGCACGGCAGCTGCGCGGCTCTGCGGCGGGGAGGCTGGTCGCTCGCGCAGCTGACGCCCGACATGAGACTGCGCTTCGCCTGCTGCGGGCCCCAGCCCGGGGCGCACTGGCAGCAGGCGGCTTTCAGAAGCGAGTTGGAGACAGCTCGGCGCGTGCTGGAGGTGGCCTGCCCGCCGCTCACCATCTGGGCCGACTGCCAGAGCATCCTCGACGGCTTCGCACGCGGCCCAGCCTGGGCCGAGAGGCCGAGCACGATGCACTCCGAGACGTGGAGCCGCTGCTGGGCCCTGATCGCCGAGAGCGGTGGCATCGGCCCCAGGGGGATTCCACGCGACGCGACGCGGGCCCCGCGTCCAGTCACGGGCCTCGCGCAGCTTGCTGGAAATAGAGCATGCTGATCAGTACGCCAAGCTAGGAGCCAAGCAGCACGAGCACGTAGCCTGGCAGCGAGACGCGCACATCCCACGAGGCAAACTCGCTGCGGAGACGTTCGGGAGTTCTCCGCTCACGTCGGGGCTTCTCGGCCGGGGGCTCGTCGACACCTCCGAGGGCTCGGAACCGCGCCGAGCGGCTCCGAGCCAGTCCCCCGTGCCCCCACCCCCGCAGCCTTTAGGGGGAAGCGGAGGCGCCCGCGGGACCTCTGCCGCCGCCACCCGGCCTCCCTCTGCCCTCTCGGGGCCGACCCGGACGGGGGCGGAGGCCAAAGAGAGAGCTACCGCCCGCGCCGGGGGCCACCGCCTCGCGAGCCGCCGAGGAGCAGCAGTCTGCCGTCGGTGTGCTGGGTACGCCCACGACGGGCGGCTCGGCCTCCTGCCTCGCTGTCCCGGGGGGGGCGATCCTCGGAAGATCTCTGGGCGCTGAGATCGGCTGGGGGGAAGGGCGAGGCCCCACCACCAACCGCCTCTTCTGAGGCAGCCCCACGTCGCCCAGGAGAGGGGCATGGTGCTGTCTCAGCGTCGTCGGTCGCGCTCTCTTGCGCATGGCACGGCAGATGAGGGTAGCAGTCCTGGGGCCCCGCGGCGGGCCCCAAGACGACCCAACAGGGCAACAAGACGGCCCAAGAGGTGCCCAGGACGGCCCAAGAGGGCCAAAAGACGGCCCCAAGAGGGGGCCCAGCTGGGGAACCCGAACTGACATTTCGAGTTTTCTGCCCCGAGGGGCCCCCACGAGGCCCAAAGAGGAGAGGCCCCCAAGAGGCTCCCAAGGGGGCCCAAAACTGCTCCCAAGAGGCCCCCGGGAGTGCCACGAAGAGGCCCGACGAGACCCGAACAAGCATCCATGAGAACTCTGACCCACAACACAAGCACAGTGACGAGATGGGCCGCCCAAGATGCCCTCCAAGTCGGCCATGAAGCACCCCAAGATGGCTCCCTACCGAAGACCCCAGTGGCTGGCGGTGCTCGCATGGCAAAACCGCACCCATTTCGGCACACCCATCACACGCTTCGTGGCCCCACAGGGAGCTCCACCGAGGGCCCCAGTAGCCGCGATCGCATGGTACCACCGCGCTCACTTCGGCACACCCTCACACGCTTCGTGGCCCGATAGGGAGCTCCACCGAAGACCCCAATGGCTGCGCTCGCATGGCACCACTGCGCCCATGTCGGCACACCACTCATACGTTCCGTGGCCCCAATAGGAGCTCCACCGAAGACGATATGCACAACTGCGTTACTCACAACTAAGTATGATTGGGTCTTTCGCCAGGCTAACCTCTAGGTTTTGAAAGATTTGGGCGTGTGTTTCTGTTCGGCATTCCGGCAGGCCGAGACGGCCCAAGAGGCCCCTAAGATCGCCCCAAGACGGCCCCAAAGGCCTCCTAGATGACCTCATAGCGGCCCACGATGCCTCCAAGACGGCCCCAAGAGACCTCCAGGCTCGCCCAAAATAATTCAATATGGCCTTCAGGGCGACCCAAGAAGGTCCAAGATGGCCTCCAAGACAGCCCAAGAGGGTCAGATGCCTCCAAGTCCGCCCAACAAGCCTCCAAGACGACATAAGACGGCCCAAGAAGACCCTCACAAGCCTGAAGATGTGCTTCTTTTAAAGTTTCCGAGGCCCCAAAGATCGCACTAAGATCGCCCGAGAGGCCTCCAAGATGGCCCGATAACGGCCCCAAAGCCTCCAGGACGGCCCCAAGAAGCCCCAAGACGGCCCCAGAGGCCTCCAAGACGCCCAAGATGTCTTCCAAGACGGCCCTGAAATACCCCCAGAGGGCCCCAAGAGACCACCAAGACGCCTTCCGACGGCGTCTTGGGGGCCAGGAAAGCCCTGCGACGGACAAAGAGGCTCCCAAGAAGCCCCTAAAGGCCCCCAAGAAGCCCAAGGAGGCCCCCGAGAGGCCTCAACCAGGCTCTCGGCAAGCTCCCAGGACGCCCCAAGAGAGCCCCAAATGGCTCCTAAGAGGCATCCTCCTATTTTTCCTCCTCCTCATCCTCATCATCATCATCCTCCGCCTCCTCCTCATCATCCTCCTCCTTCTCCTCCTCATGCGTCCTCCCTCTCCTCATCCTCCTCTTCCTTCCCCCACGTGTTCCCCGAAGGGTTTCCGCAGCGGCTGGGGGGACGCATGGTCCAGTCGCGTGGCCTGACGTTGCTCAAACGTTTGGCCACACAAGCGTATCCGAAGAAGCAGGGGACGGCGACGATTCGCCGCAGGCGTCTTCGATGCATGTAAAGCCAAACTTGCGTTCCGGAATATGATCAGTTCAGAAACCTGGGCCAGATTAAAAGGGGCCCCAGGACACACAAATAAATACACACAAATAAAAACATCCCCCATATGTTCCCATATTTTCTAGGTTCTTGTCTTCCCCCCACTCCCCATATTTTCCCATATTTTCCTGGGACTCGACGATTATTTGTGTCTGTGTGTCTTTTCCCCTCCTGACAGATGTCCGAAGTTGCTTGAAACACGAGCCTGGGCCAACTCACTCACTGGGACACGCGGAAGGGAAGACCGCGCGCAAGAGACTGGCCCGGCTCCCTGGCGACTCTTCCAGGAAGTGCTGGCCCACCCCGTCTGGGGAGGAGGCTCCTTGAACGGCTGCTCGCCTGGATTGAAGGGGCCCTGGGACACACAGATAAGCACACACAAATCAAAATATCCCCCATCTTTTCCCATATGTTGGGTTTTTTTTTTGCCTCCCCCCCCCCCACTTCCCACATTTTCCCAGATTTTCTGGGGAATCGCCGATTCATTGTGTCTGTGTGTGTTTTTTCCCTCCTGACTGGACTGCTCCTCCCTGGGACGCTCGCCCCATCGTCCGCCTCCACCGCACCTCCTCCCGAGAAGCCCGCGCGGTGGCGACGAGGCTCTGCCCGGCGCGCGGCAGCGACCTCTCTTCGCGCACCGCCGATGCACCGGCGACTCCTGCGATGCGGCGGCCACGCCCGCGTGGCGAAGCCCGGGCTGCACCTCGAGCCGCTCGGCCGATGCCTCGGCGACGTCTGCGCTGCAGCGGCCACGCCCGCGTGGCGAAGCCCGGGCTGCACCTCGAGCCGCTCCGCCGATGCCTCGGCGACGCCTGCGCTGCAGCGGCGACGTCCGCGTGGAGAAGACTCGGCTCCCCGTCGAGCCGCACCGCCGCTGCATCGGCGGTGCGGCGCGCTCCCCCGACCCCCCTCCACTGCGACCCCGCTTTTGCAAGGCCTACGGTATTGCTGCTCCGCCCTGGGATGTCCGCCCTACCGTCGGACCCGACTGGACAGGACACGCCAGGGGACACGGGACCCCTCCGAGGGTCACGTCGCCTGCGGCATGCAAGAGGCATGAATCGCGAGACACAGGGCACAAGAGTACCCTCCCCAGAGATCCGACGTGGTGTTTTGATTCAATGCGGGCGGGGCCCCCAGAAGTCTCGACCCATTCCTCAGGACCGGCTTCCCATCCGGACTCGTTTTCTGTTCACGGCCCCGGGGTCCGGCGAGGGCCTGCAGGGGCCGACAAGAGCGAAGCACCTCCGCCTCGATGTTTGCAGGTCGCTGGATCTTTGGAAGTCAGGGCCGACTGCATCGCCCGCCTGCACTTGAGCAGGGGCCGACCGTCCCGGCATTCCTTTAGTCCTACCACGAAATGTTCTTAGAACCTAAAAATGATCTAAAAGCAAGAACAAGGTTCTTAGAACGTAAACCCGATGTGATAACACAAGACAGTCCCAGCAAGAAATGGTATAAGAACATGTCGTGGGAAAGTCCTAAGGTTCTTAGAACATTGTGTGGTAGGGCTACAGTCGGGCCTTTGACCTAAGGAACCCTAAGTAAGGAACGAGGCTCCTCTTTTGCATAAGTTAAACTTCGATTTCCCATACAAAAACCTAAGGGGAACCCAAGGCAAACTGAAAACAATCACGGAACACCGAGCCCCTCCCCAACGAAAAGCGTTCCTTCTTCAGGGCCCCGACTGTATAGGCGAGCCAGGACGCTTCGCCACTGCTTGATGCACCGCACCTCCTCCTTGGGAGAGGCAGGGGGGCGGGGGAGGGCGGCGGACTCTGCCCGGCGCACGGCGGCGACCTCTCCGCGCCGGGCGGCGGCCGCGCGCAGGTCCCAGGGGAGCCTCAGGGCCAGGAGAAGGGCCACCACCCCGCGCTCTCCTCGGGCACCAAGGGGGGCTTCGTCCTCCTCCTCATCCTCCTCCTCCTCCTCCTCCTCCTCCTCCTCCTCCTTCTCCTGTTCCTGTTCCTGGGCTTATCCTCCTCCTGCTCCTCCTGCTCCTCCTGCTCCTCCTGCTCCTCTCCTGCTCCTTCCTACTCCTCCTCCTCCTCCTCCTCCTCCTCCTCCTCCTCCCCCTCCTCCTCCTCTCCCATCTCCTCCTCCTCCTCCTCCTCCTCCTCCTCCTCCTCCTCCTCCTCCTCCCTCCTCGCTCCTCCTCCTCCTGCTCCTCCTCCTGCCCTCCTCCTCCTCTCCTCCTCCTCCTCCTCCTCCTCCTCCTCATCCTCTCTTCCTCTCCCCTCCTCCTCCTCCTCATCCCTCCTCCTCCTCCCTCCTCCTCCTCCTGGCTTCTCCTCCTCCTGCTCCTCCTCCTCCTCCAACCCCCCCTCCTCCTCGCTCCCGACTCCTCGCTCCTCGCTCCTCCATCCTCGCCCCTTGCTCCTGGCTCCTCGCTGGTAGCCGTTTTGGCTCGACTCCGCACCGCTGGGCCGCGGCCGCACCGCGCTCGCTGCGGGGCGATGCCTGGCACGTTCCTGCAGCAGCGCCGCGGCGCCGAGGACGCAGCCCGCGGGGGATCGCTCCGCGCGGCGCACGCGGCGGCGGGCCTCGCGGCGGGCACCCTCCCAGCCGGGAGTGCGCCCGCTGCGGGC